TTGTATTGAGAAAGCTTTTCTTGAGAAATCATGGCCCGTGATGATGTAGGAGCTGTGATCATATAACTGGGTTGATGAAGGTGTTTCTTCTCTTCATAAGCGGAGATGTGTATTCTTTTCAAGTTAAGATACCATAGACAAGATGTACTTACATTTCAAGAAGGTTAAAGCTATTGTAAAGCCAATGTTGAAAACCAAGGTAAACCCAAATAAGGCACCAATGGATATCCAGAAAAGGTAACCGTCAAAGTTTAATCCACGAGTTTCGAGTGTCTCTTTCCCTATTGTAGTGTTTGTGGATAGCATCTACATAAAAGAACAGCAAGCAGTAAATAGTGAATGACCATCTTGGCTACAATCTAGATTTTTCTTTTTTAAGTTAAGGGGCTACTGCCCCTTGTAAATTGTGGAAATTGATCCCAAGAGCATTACTCACCACCCGCCAAACTTGGTGAGGAGAAGATACCATAGTGTAAAAGGCTCTTGGGTGTTTGGTACGATGGATGTTAAATGTTAAATAGGAAACCTGCTTGGCAATACCATTAGCAGGGACAGAAAATGAAACCTTGGACCATAAAGTGCATGTTTGAATCCATCACTGGTCATTCATGGCAAACACAATCCTTCCTGTTTACAATTTTTTCTTGTCATTTATGAAGTTTAATGAGAAATCAAGGATCAACATACTTGAAAAATGTGCAGCAAGGTTAAAAATTTGCAGTGCATGAGAGAATGGAAGGTATAACTAATCGATAAGGATAATCTAGTAGAAATAACAAAAAAGTGATTGACGTAGTTTATTATTGGTCACAAAGTTCCTATTCTAGCCATTTTGATCTTTCACTAAGATGCTAAGAAGTATGAAGAGCATCATGAAGTGAAAGGAATTTATGAAAAACAATCGACATTGATCTAGTGAATAACATAAGGAATTGGTAACAGTAGTTTATGAATGGCTAAGAAGGTCGAATGTGACTACTCTAATCTTTTGGAGATCAGATCCTATGAAGATCTGAAAGCATAATGAGAGGAAGGAATATGCCACAGATAAGCCACTGAATAGTTTTCTTAAGTACCATTTTGGAAAGTAAAAGCATTCTCAACTGCTGATAATTGGTAGATTTACTTATGTTTATGACTAGCTGTATCAACCTTTCACGGTAAGAACAACTTCGATTGCAGCTGAAAATTCTCTTTTATGTTGTCTTATAACAGAAACCATGAAGCTAAACAAGAAGACAATCACCTTTTGCCATCTTGGAGCAAGAAATTCATTTACGGATAGGCCTATCTCACCATAAGTGATGGGGGAAACCCAAAAACCCCATCTCAACCATACTGGCATCGAAGCTGTCACCAAAAAGTAGCTTAAATTTAGCCTTGAAGGTGGTAATTATTTAATTAAATTCAAGAAGTATGATGTCTTACGTTGTGGGATAATGAAGCCACTAAATAATAAGACAAATAATATCGCAAAGCTACCAGCAGTCATTGATACAACCACTGTCTGGAAGACCGCAGCCAGGAATCGAAACATGGATATTGATGTTAAGTGCACAGAAAAAAGTAGAAGGAAATGGCAAAAGAACCTGGAAATACCAAACAAGGTCAAGGTTTCAGAATCACTGGGAAACAGAAAACAAGAATCTGGGTGTTGGTAAAATTTCTCGAATACTCTGAA